TCCTTTCTCAAAGGGAACCTCCACAGCTGAGATATCCTTCCAAACTCTGAATTGCCACACCACGGGTGTGGGACCTGCCTGTTTTGTTATCACACTTCCTACCAGTCTTAACATGGCTTCTTTATATCCTTAGTTATAGGAATACTAGTTTTCAGGTGGTTCTTAATGATGGTTTAACTTAGTTATACTTTTGATGTGGTCATGGGAGGAGGCAAGCAGACTTTACATCCTCCACTATCTTGACTGGAAGTCCAACCTATGTCTTCTGATTGGAATATTTAGTCCATTTTCATTTATTTGTAGGTTATTTGCTTTGTTAATTTTTTATGGTTGTTTTTGTTGTTCTGTTGCTTCTCTTTATCACTTTCCTTTAGATTTGATGGTTTTCTTCAGCATTTTGTTAGGGTTCCCTTCTCTTTTGTGTGAGTGTGTATTTTTTGAAGGTTTTTGGTTTGTGGATATATATGTATGTGTATATGTATATGTACACACACACATCCATCTGGTATCTCCACAGTAGTCTACTGTAAGTTGATAGGCATTTAAGTTCAAACACATTCTTAAAGCACTACATCCTTATTCCCCCTAATGCTTTATGTTCTTGATACCATGTTTTATATCTTTTTGTTTTGTGTATCCCCTACTTGTAGTTATAATTTTGCTACTTCTGTCTTTTAACTTCCATAATAGTTTTTAAGTGGCTGACTCACTGGGTTCATTATATATTTGCCTTAATGGTGAGTTTATGAACTTTTTGGCATAAAGAAGACACTTTTAACATTTCTTATAAAGCTAGTTTAGTTGGGGTGGGTAGACTCCTTAGTTTTGTTTGTCTGGGAAACTCTGGATCTCTCCCTCAATTCTGAATGATAAGCTTCCTGGTAGGTTGCGTGTTCCTGTCTTTCAGTACCTTAAGTATTTCTGCCAGTTCTTTCTGGCCTGTGAAGCTGCTACTGAGAAATCAGCTGATAGCCTTATGTGGTTTCCCTCGTATGCAACTCAATTCCATCTTGTTGCCTTCAAGATGTATCTTTATTCTTAACCTTTGCCATTTTAATTACAGCATGTCTTGCTGTGAGCCTCTTTGAGCTCATCTTGTTTAGAGCTCTCTGTGCTTCCTGGACCTGGATGTCCGTTTCTTTCCCCAGATTAGGAAAGTTTTCAGCCATTATTTCTTCAAATATATTTTCTGCTCCTTTGTCTCTTCTCTTTTTAAAATTCCTAAAATGGAATTCTTTGAATTTTTAAAAAATTGTTTTTCAAGTATAAATGTTTCCATATCCCCCCCCCACTCCCCCACCACACCCATCCCTGCCTCCCACCCTTGATCCTACCCCCTTTGGCTTTGTCCATGGGTCCTTTATACTGTTCCTTGATGACCCTTCATCTATTTTCTCCATTATCCCTCCACCCCTCTGGTTACCATCAGTCTGTTCTTTATTTCAGTGTCTCTTTCAGGCACACTATTTATCTCTGTTTCATTAAGTTCTTTCGTAAGGTTTTTTTTTCTTGTCTTCATTTGGGGCAAATTCTTCTGTCTTCGCATTTTGTTTGACATTCTGTTTCTTCCTATGAGCTAAAAGTAGCTCTCTCTCCCAATCTTGAAACAGCGGCCTGTTGACTGTGTGCTGGATACCTCTGTTGTCCAGTTGTGATGAGGGTGGGTATGTGTGGTGCCTGGTACACCTCCTAACCAGAGGGAAGGGTTCCAGGCATGGTGGTCTGGTGCACACACGTGCAGTAGCTCCTACTGTTCTGGCTGTCCACAGCCAGAATGGAGTTAAGGCAGGGCAGCCTTCTGTGGGTGCCTTTCTGATCTGGGTGGGGCTGCCTGCTGTGCCCAAGCCAGGCCTGAGCAGGGCTCCCTGAGTGTGATGTGGCAGTACCCTACTATTTTCACTTCCTCTGGACAGGGCAGTTGTGTACGCACCACACTTTGCTACTTTTGCACTTTCTCTGGCCGAGTCAGTCCTGCGTATGCTCAGCAGCACCCCACCAGTTCCACCCTTTCTCCGGATGAGGCATCCCTCTGTGGTCATGCAGCAGCACCCCCGCCTTTGCAGTTTATCAGGACCGGGCAGCTCTGCAGGCTGGAACTGTGGCACTCTGCTAATTCTGCACTCTTTCTGGTGGGGGAGCCGTGTGTGTGCACCCTGCCGTATGGGGGGAGGGGCGGGGGGGGTGTCGATGTCCAGGTGGAGGAGTCCTGTACATGCATTATGGCACCTTGCTTTTCCTGTTGGAATGGCTGGGGTTGCACAATAGCAGCCCTGCAGGTCGACCAGAGCACCTGGCTAGAACTCCCACTCTCTACCTAAGCATAGGGTAAAGGTAAACAGTGGCAGTCACTGGTCTCTCTGGTTCTGTAGAGTCCCCTTATCTTCTCTCTGCGTTCTTTCGTTTGTCCTGCAGAAGCTGTTCAATTGGCCCTCAGTTGTCTCTCAGGAGGAGTGGGTCTAAATATTGGTATACATTGTATGTTCTTAGGAGGTGGCAAGCTCAGTGGCCACTATCTTTGACTTGCCTCTCTACACCAAACTTTAAACTTGAAAGTAGTACATTTTTCATTTCTGGAAGTTCTATTTAGTTTTTTCCTTAAGATTTTATTCCTTTAAATTTTAGAGAGGGGAAGGAAGAGAGGAGAGAAACATCAATATGTGGATGCCTCTCACATGACCCCCACCGGAAACCTGGCCTGCAACCCAGGCATGTGCCCTGACTGGGAATCAAACCTGTGACCTTATGGTCCAGGGCCTATTTAGTTCTTTTAAAGTTAACTTCTGCCCCTTGTCTATAATAATCTTAAATGTTCTTTGTAGTTTCCATTCAATAATTCCATTCTCTGAAGTCCTTGGGGATTTAACCTTGGCATTTATTGCCTTCTGACTCTTTCTCATGGTGAATTGTTTTTGTGTGTTCTGTAATTTTGAACAGTGAGCTCAGCATCACTGGGGTTCTATATATGGGTATTCTGTGCAGCCTGAATTATGATGCATCAATCCAGAAATTCTCTTTCCTTCTGCCTGGCACCCGCAAAATACTTCACACTAGATTCACAGGATTCTCAAACTAGTCTGTGGTAACATTTCTAGAAATGACTTTTCTGCTCTGCACCCACAGACTAAGCTAAGACAAGCACTAAAGGACGGGACTTCCCCTGTCCCTCGTTATTCCTTTTACTGAGGGGTGAATCTCTTTAAGAATCGTGGCTGTGTGTGTGGACCTCAATCCAACTCCTCACCTTGTGGGGACCTAAGCCTTTACCTCCTGTCCTTGTGTGACCTTTAAAACTGAAGTACCTTGGTTACGGACACCAGGAGTTATCTTTACTCTGAGGCAGTCACAGCGTCAACCACACATCATGCTATTTATTTCCTCTGGTTCTGGCCCCTGGGGTTTACTCTTACTAAATCTTTAAGGTCAGCCATACAGGTCAAAGGGTATTTACCATGTTCTATCCAGCATTCCTTACAGTTTTATAACTAAGGCTCTCAGGCTAATTATCTCCCACAATTCCTGGAAATGGAAGTCTTTTAAAATACTTGATCATATTCTATCATTTTTCTTCTCATTCAAATTACATCACACTATTATGGGCACCATTTTATAAATAAGGAAACTGAAGCTTATCAACTTAAGGTCACATGGCAAAGACCAGGACCAGGTCTTTTGTTATCAGTTTTGGAATATTTCTCTAACGGGGTGCCCAACCTTTTGGTGTGTCTGGGCCACACTAAAAGAAGAGTTGTCTTGGGCCACACATTCAATACACTATGACACGTAATCACAAAAAGATCTTGTTTTAAGCTATGATTTTGCGTTGAGCTGCATTCACAGTCATCCTGGGTTGCATGCGGCCTACGGGCCGCAGGTTGGACACCGCTGCTGGGGCAGAGGAGGTGAAGGTCTGAGGGAACACTCAGTGAGTTCCTGCTGTGCACTTGATCTGTGTAGGAGATACCTGACAACGGCTATATGAGACCGATCTTATTACCTCACTTAAACAGGTGGGGGAATTAAAGCTCAGAAAGGTTGAATAACTTCCTTAAGGTCCTTAGTGGCAGACCTGAATTCAGTCACAACTGACTACAAAAAACCATTTTCTTCCTTTAACATCAGGGGTCACAGCAACTTACCCTGTGAAAGGCCAGGCAGTACATATGTTAGGCTTGGCAGGCCACACAGTCTCTCCTGCAACTATTTCACTGTTGTTGTGGAAAAGCAGCCAGTGAGAAACAAGAGAATGAGCATGGCTGTGTTCTCATAAAACTTTATTTAAGGACACTGAAATCTGAGTTTCATAGGCTTTTCACATGTCACAAAATAATCTTTTGATTTTTTCAACCATACAAAAATATAGAATGCATTCTTAACTCACAGGCCATACGAAACGAGCAGCAGGCTGGATGTGGCCCACGGACAGACGGGTGGCCAGCCCCTGCTCCGCACGGCACCACCGCCCGAAAAGGGCAGCTCTCCGGTGCCTTAGGGTCAGTGAAGATGGGGAGGAAGGGACAGGGTTTTGAGAGGAGGGCTGCTGCACACCCTCACACCACACAACAGCAACCTGCAGCTGCAGTGATGTCTGGTTCCAGTGTTACATGTCTTTTCTCATGTCTACTTTAGCCCATCTTCAAAGTTAAACTATAAGCTCATTTAGGAAAGATGACTATCTGCTTACTTATTTACTTATTTTTAAATTTCATTTGATGTTTAATAGTCTATGTATAGTAAGTGCTTAGTAAGTATTAACTGATAAGTATCAGTCAAATGCTACCCTATTTCATTCACAGATTCTAGTTAAGTAGTCAGTGGGTACAATATATAAGTAGTTCAATAACATGAAAAACAATATAGGTCAGGCTAGATGTATTATTCAATTTAACACAATTACCATTTCCTTTTAATTTAGTATAAGGAACACTTATGAAAAGTATTCCCATCCCCCGCATCAGATTACGTGCACGTGAATACTGAGCCTGCCCTTCCTTCCTCCCTAGAACCACTATGGTGATCTGGACGGTGGCCACTACACTGCTTTCTGCAAGAACTCAGTGACCCGAGCCTGGTTCAGCTTTGACGATACACGAGTCAGTGAGATTCCAGATACTTCAGTTCAAACTGCTACAGCCTATCTCCTGTTCTACAGCTGCCAGCCCTTTTCTATACCTATAGAAAAATGCATGAGCTAGGAAATTGGTGTTTCCTGAAAGTTGCAAAACAAGCAATCAGAAACTACCACTTAAGTTTTGCTTTGTTATTAAAATCTTGCAACTTACTTGCATCACTGTTATTTTTCTTTCTGGCATATGTGCAACCTTATATAAGTCAGTCTATAGTCAAGAAGATGGGTCCTTGCACATTGAAAAAGGCAGCATGAACATAATACAATGCCAATGGCCAAAGGCTTAGAAAAGCACTACAGATTATATAGTAAATTCAGGCTTCAAAATTCAATGTTTATTAGGGTAGATTTTTATCAAAGTATCTCATAATTATATATATGTGCATACATATATCCCACAAATTATTTCCCAAAGATACTTAACAGAACAAAAATTTTTGTCCAAGTGGCTCTGTGAGCTAAGAATGTGATTGAAAACTAACTGATCAGATAATTTAGCCAAGAAACTATGTCTCTTAGACTAACTGCTGAACATGAAAAGCTGTCAACTTCAGTTGTCAAAACGCATCCTTTCATCTTCTACTTGGGAGTCCACCGATGGTGACATCTTTCAGGAGCACCCTTAGAATCCTTTTACATGGAGTGTTTTAATTGAGTTCATGTGTAGCAACTGAGTCTCTGAGGTAAATGATAAACCCTACGCTCTATTTCTTTTAATACATCACTTTGTGAAGATGTGGTTCATAATGCAGTTCATTTTGCAGTCATGCCGGTCTCCTAGTCCTTTTTACCTTAATTGTAAGGTTTCTACTACCCTTGACAGAATGAGTTTCAGTGCCATTTCTTACTGTGACTGCCGACTCTGAGAACCATAAAGTGCTATATATGCAGTCTGGGTCAAGTTGAAGGAAAAGTGGGATTGAGTCCTGATGCTAACAGGGTAAGCAAACTAAATTTTAAGTCACTGTATTGGAATAAAGTGTGTGTGTGTGTGCATAAAATCTATAATTCTACTGTCCTATATTTGATAATACAAATTAAAGACAGAACACGTACAGTATTTCAAATTATTTTTCTCATTAGGATTTTAATGTAGGTGTAAATGAAAATTCTCATTTTAAAAAATTAAAGAAAAGTTTCCATTTATTTTTTTAGAGTAAAGATTCAGTGCACAAATACAGCCCAAAGCCGAAAGAAAAATAGCTTTGCCCTGTCATTTCCCTAAGAAAGCACTGCAGTTACTCAGAATAAGCCTAAAGAAAAAAATAAAAGGAATCCTTTGAGTTCTAGGTTTCACAAAAGGACCACATATTATGCTGTGTGCATCGATCTGGTGTGCAAGTGTGCAATAAATATATACACATACATTCCTATCTGCTTTATGTCATTCTAGGGTATTCACAGATCAAGCTGAGAATCAGAGAGGTGAAAAGGCCGTAACAGTGAGAATGAAAAGAAAGGATACATGGTTTTTAGACGAGTAGAATAATAATGCTTAGCTAGTTAATTATTTCAACTTTGGAGCAAACTCAAAACATTGTTTTGAAGTAAGTGGTACCTCTAAGAAGTGTTTACTGCAATACTTATTAAATGTTATTAGTCAGTGTTTTGATAATAGCACTGAGCTGGAATATATGGTGACAGTAACATAGCTCCCACGGTCTTAGAATTCCTCTAAACGGCCAGCTATAGCTATCCAGTATCTTTATAAGCATTTCCAGAGTTGGGTAGCTCAGCCATTTAAAAGATAACTAGCTCATAACCTACTTCTTCTTACGTGGCTACATCAGTTGCTCGTGGTCCCAAAGAAGTATAAAAGAGGATATAAGCTGCTGAAGATTTCACAGAAGAAACGGAGATATCGGAAACTTCGTGATCATCAAATTTAAACCACCGCTGTCTTGCTGCATTTTTACAATAGGCAGTGTAGTGGCCTCCATCCAGCCCACCGTAGTGGTTCTGTGCCAAATGAAATAGAAAATCAATTCAAACTGAATTTAAAATATGTCAACAGTAATTTCAAAGCTTTATGTTGTTCTTACTTCCTTTCCTATGAGATAAGGACCCATTTGAAATTTACTATTTTTAGTCAGCTTTGAAAGAAAAAGTAGTTGGTTTAATGACATACTTACTGAAACAGAAAACAAGTTGTATTTCTTCAAATTATTCTTTGGACCAATAACATACTGAGACAGGTCAAGATTTTCTAATGGAAAGTCCACAGAGGTCTGCAGCTTCTGTTTCCACCTACCATCATAGGAAAAGCTGCAAAGCCAAGCATTACAGCAATTACATGACAGATCAAAGACATCAGAATGAACACTAATTCATTTATTAACAATCTAGATTTTCAGCCAGGACCATGAAATCCATTTCAGTCACACACTCAGAATTTTAATGGCGGAGAGACCTCTTACAAACATTTGGTTTCATTGCCATTTTACAAGGGAGGAAACTGAGGTGCATATGTACTGAGTGGCTTGCCAAAGTCAAACAGCTGGCGTGGCAGAGATAGGACCACACCTTGGTCCTTTAATCCCTAGACTAGCTAGACTTGTTAGATGCGTCCTCTATAAAAGTAAAAAGTTCTAAAAACCAACATTTATAATGCCAATCACTACAAAAGTACAGAGGAAAGACTGAGGAGAGCTGCTTAGATTTAAGCTTGCACTTGTGGGGAAATGAGAGCTTGGAAAAGCAAGCATGGAGATGAGCGACTGAAACAATGTCACTCCATTACCCTGGCACACTCTGCTCCTCAAATACCAAAATACTGGTGTTTTGGTTGGTATAACGTGGTTATTTCAGAATTATTTTAAAAAGTCTGAATTCTGAACCTTTTATATCTTTAGATACTTTCTTAAGAATAGCATGCAGCATTAAAAACTTTAACAGAACAAATGTGTAATCGTTTCTGTAGTGTCTACCTCTACCGTCCTCAAGAAGAAAGGGACAACTGATGTAACAAATTTTGTCAGAAAATTTACACAAGAGCAATTTGAACTAGTCAGTGTTAAAATGAACACAACTGCCTAAGAATCTCCAGTACTACAAAATAAAACAAAAATTATAGCTCTCAATAAAAAGACGGAATTTTCTTTGTAAAAGTTTTTCAAAAAAATGAATCAGATACCAGTCCACAGATGGATTACATAAAGACAAAAGAATCAGAGCAAAAGACCCAACACACATTTTACGACTCTCTCCCTTTCCTCCCCCCAGTACAACACACCAGATGTTCTTCCCTGGCTGGAAAAATCTGCACAAAACTACGCCTGCACTCAACAATGTCATCCTTAAAATTTTACTTTTAAAATAACACTTTAAATACTCATATTTCATTTTCAGCACAGGATTAAATCAATCTTATGTTTAGTTCAGTGTTTGAAAAACTTTTATCTGCTAATATGTTAGCGTTACACTATATAACATTAACATTTTAATATATTTTCTTGATGTTTTGTAATGACTTACAATTTTTATACTGGAAATGGAATAACTTAGTTTCCCTGACTTTTTAAAGACAGAATTACATGAAAGACTGGTGCTACCATTTTGCTCTGTGACGGCAAACACTAAGCTGAACTGAAGTCTCATTATTTCTGCCTTATTTCCCTGGAGATACCCTAACCAGTAAATCTTCCTTGATTATGCATCCTTAGTAGGCAGTGCCACAACGTGACCTGGAATAAAGGATATAGAGTCCCTTCATCTAAACTGTACGAAACAAGTAGAAAAATGTCTGCCCTTTACCGTTTCAGATGCACCAAAAGCACAGGTGGCAACTTCCAGATTTCTATCTTTTTCAGAGAATCCCTTCGGGCTCTGCAATGACTGCAGTAAAACCTGTTATTATCTGTGAGTTTTTCTTCTTTGGAAAATAACCTAAGGCAATCCTGGAAGACAGAAAGAAGCAGTAGATACTCATTAATTCATTCCTTCAACACAGTGTCCTTAGGCTTCTATTCATAAGTTACTCTGCCTGGTATGAAGGACAGAACAGTAACTAGAACAAAACCGTTCTCGCCCTCACAAAGTTTGTGATTTGGTGAGGCATGCAGAGCGAGCCTGAAATGGCACCGGAGTGTGGCGAGTGTGCCCGTGGTGACAGGAAGTAGCACTGCATCTCCCGAGGGCACACACCTCTACCTGGGGGCCCAGGGGAGCCCTGGTGGAAGAAATGACATCCTCAAGGAAGTTAGCACGAAAGGGATCAACAAGAGATCTAAACCACACTGCTGTGGTGTGGAAAAGATTAGCGTTCAGGCTGTCTATAGCTAATCTTTTATAAAATCCTGTTTCTTTTCATGTACACGTAGATCACAAACACTATCTCCAACAACTGTTTTAACACCGATAAAATACGGTAATACCTGGTAACATTTTAGTGAGTAAATACAAATTGCAAACAAAATATTTATTTGATATCCCCATGTAAAGCAAGTTCTTATAAAAAGCATACCTAAACTAAAGTCAACACATAATTTCCAAGTTAACTTAAAAAACTTCTTCATTGCATCCACTGACAGGCCTTGAACAATATAACGTTGTTCTTTTGGTTTGCACTAGGATGCGAAAGAAAAAAAATCCCTGTGCTGTCTGCCTGTGTGGCGGCCTGGATTGAATAGGGGACTATATCTGTGGGGGGGGAAAAAAACTTCAGAATACAAACTTTTAAAAAAACCTGTTATTTAGCCACTCTGAAAGCATATTTAATAAGAAACTTTTGTATCTTTAAAAAAATTCTAGTTTGGGTAGTTTTTTTCTAGTCTACAAAGGTCTAATTAAAACAATTTATGGGTGATTTTTACCTATAAAATGTTTACAGGGGTAAACAACAGAAATAAATTGCTGAAAGAAGTGCATCTCTATCTGTATATAAATAGCATTTTTATTCCGCAAATCATTTTCTCTCAGTTATAAACGTACCTGTAATGTACATTTACTTGTGGATGCTAGTGGTAGGGACAAGTACATGAAGGCCTCAAATGTCCTAGACTTTTTGTGACAGGTGAGGCACTGTACTGTGGATTTGAATTGACCCTGAAAAAGCGCAACAATAATAGATTCATTGAGCTGCTTGTGTTTCTGCCAAGCATATTCTGCTGCTTTAAAGTCATCGAGATGATCATTATTTTCTTCTTTATGTCTCTTCCGATTATCGGCCTGGAAATAAGATTTTTTTAAACTCTGTATTAATATCTCAAAGCCAGCATTTAAAAATAAAGTTGAAAAAAATATACTAAATACAAACACTTTGCAGATTCACAAACACTTCAGATTCTTTTCATAAAGGCGTTCTAATCTCATTAAGTACTACAAAATTCTAGCCAAAAAAGCCTCCCAAGAAACCAAAAACCCACTTTATCAAAAGGGTGCAACTTAGGGGAATTGCTTAATAAATTTGTATTTAAAAAGAGAAGACATGCCACATGCAGTTACAACTACACAGATGGGATTTAGCTGTCCTAGTCTCAGGGATGGACATACACACTAAATACGTATTCATGTACATATGCATGTATATGTGAGTATGTATATGTTCAGTGGGAGACCTCAAAGGTATCTGAAAGAGGGGGACAACCTGGTGCTAAAAAGACTCAGCAGTATTTAAACAGATTGGTCATTTATGTAGATACATGCTTCAATGTAGTTACATGGAGTAATTCTTATTTTAGGAAAACATAATAAGAATATAGTAATACATATAGATTATAATAAATATATATAATATGCAATAATATATAAACATAATAGGATGTTCAGGCTGTCTATAGCTAATCTTTTATAAAATCCTGTTTCCTTTCATATACACATAGATCACAAACACTATCTCCAACAACTGTTTTAACACCAATAAAATACGGTAATACCTGGTAACATTTTAGTGAGTAAATACAAATTGCATATGCTTTGTTTCAAATACTAGACCTATCAGATTTGTGTTTTATAGCTCCACACCTTACTACAAAGTCACTAGACATGAACAACCACCAACCATAATTTTAAATTACTGTAAAAATGATTACGGCCCTGGGTACCTCGGTTGGAGTGTCGTCCTGATACACCAACATTGCAGGTTCGATCCCCAGTCAGGGCATATATGGTCAATTTTTAAAAATTAATAAATATACCAATATTTTTAAAAATGATTACAGTGTTGAGCAATGCTAAAGAGCCTTTACAATTTAGAAAAATCAAATTTCTTACTTTATTTAGATCTTCGTGGAGACCATCCATTAGGAACAGAAGTAGCTCTTGTGAATCTTGCTGGCTGTACCCTGCAAACTGGTCATTGATCTTCCCAATGGTGGTTTTAAAATCTTTTGGACTGATATACCTGTACTGTCCCGTCCACAGTGCTTTCATGATTATGCCAAATTCTTCCGCCACTTCACCTTTATGCCCCAACAAATTTGACCTTGGCAAATAAAGGTATAAAAAGCAATACAGGAATTGTAAAAAGTCAAGACCAGTGGGCTCTTGATGTCAACATTAAACTATGGACATACTACACCCCTACACTACAATGCTTATTCACAGGTTTACTGCCCAGTACTCAACCAAACCCTACTTTGATTACACTCCTCCACCTCGCTTCTTTCTGATGCCAACCCTGCATTCTCTCTTCACCATCAGCAGGCTCTAGTTTGTGGCAGTAAGGTTCTTGCCTTCTTGCACTGCTCCTTTCCTGTCTGTCCTTCACCAATCAGAGGCTTTTCTCTACATCTTAAGAAAAATGTCGAGTTACACTACATTTTTACTGTAGTAGAAGTATTTTCGCCTTTCCTAATTTGACTTCTCTGGAAGGAGCTGGGTAGTTTACATCACCCTTTTAACATTACATTGCAAAAAATAAGAAATTTCTTTACCTGTTAATATCATCCTGGTAACAGTTTCGGTTGAAATAATCAGCCAAATGTGGAGCATTACATAGGCACTGCAGTATTGAGTTCATGTAACAAGTATTTCCTAAATTACGAAGTCCAGTGAGAGCTGGTCCAGATCCTCCAAACACAGGATTGAGGTTTCGAATCTGAGAAGCAGAAAGCCTTGTGATCTCCGCTTTAGGGTAGCATGTGGGCCTGAGAAAGAAAAAGTGTGCAAGATGTCTTAGAATGCACAGCAAGTGAAAATAAAGTTCAAATTACAAATGGCAGCAAACTCCAGCATGTGTACACAGTAAATTCGTAAAGTGTTAATAAGTTGACTCATAAGGTACTAGGGTCTTACAGAACATTTAATATCTATGTGACATAGTCTGTGACCTTCCCATGAAACGAATACCTTTAACCTCTTATGTGGGTCCATGGTTCTCACAGACATCGTAAGGTAGATTCTCTGCCTTCTCATGAACAGGTAGAGGCTTCTAGTCAAGAAGGCTCTTTCAAACTCCTTTAAATGGTCCTAGGAAGTTTAGTATTACCAAATGTTGAACTCAACAGAATGCCAAAACAGGGATTATTTTTATATATACACAGGGGTGGGGGCAAAAGTAGGTTTATAGTTCATATGGAAAATAGTACATAAATAAATAACAATAGAATAAAAACTCTTGTATTATAAAAACTCTTGTGTTTTGTGTACTCACAACTGTAAACCCACTTTTGTCCACTCCTGTATACTACTGTGGAGCAGATCAAAGGAGGCAGAAGTTATTTGGATACTATTCCCTGAAGTCAAGAGCTCTGCTAACAAGGTATGGTAGCCACTAGCCACAGGTGGTTATTTAAATTTAAAATTAAAAACAAAAAACAAAAAATCCCAGCTCCTCACTTACATTAGTCACAATCCTAGAGGGAGGCAGACAGAGAGGGGCAGAAACATCTATGTGAGAGAAACACAGACTGGCTGCCTCTCATACGCACCTCAACCAGGGACCGAACCCACAACCCAGGAATGTGCCCTGATGGGGAATTTGCTCTGTGGGATGATGCCCAACTGACTGAGCCACACCAGTTAGGGCTGAATTATACTTCAGCCAGCTTTTTTTTTTTTTCACATGTGTTCAGGTGTTTGCACTCATGAACTCTTTCTCTGTTCAATATATGTAAAAATATATAAGCTGCATATATGATACTTTTTAAAACTGTCAAATTAACAAATTGTATTAAGAATGATGATGCAAGAAGGAATTAAATCTCACCAGTTTTAATAGCAAGCCCTAAAATCTGTAACTAGATTTATGATTAAAGAAAAAAAATCTCCACATAATTCCCTAATTGGCAGGGCAAATTCTCAGAAGAAGTATGTATCAACTACATTTTTGGGAAGTATTACCACAGGGGCCAAAAAGATTCCCTAGCTGAAATTCCTTGGCAGTCAAGAGGATGTATGTTATAAATAGGAAAACAAAGCCATTGCCATTTACAGTCATACCTTGGTACGTACTTGTTGGCTTCAGAACTTGTCAAACCCTGTACTTGTCACATTTTGATGAGAAAAAAAAATGTTTCAGCACTCAGCACTTGCTCGGGACTCGTTGTATTTGCCAGAACTTGTATGAGCCACGAGGCCGCCCCACAAGAGAAAATTCTTCATCATTCTGTACTTATCGGTTATGGCACTCATTACCGAGTTCCAGAATGAATTAATGACAAGTACTGAGGTACTGCTGTATTGACACTTCCAACCATTCCCCTCTCCGAAAAGGTTAAGTTTAGAAATGGTTAAGCGGACTTAAAAATTTTCACATCATAATCCTATCAGTCATGAGCCAGAGCCATTTGAGAATTCAAAAAGGGATAAAGCCAGGAACACATTTAAATGAGATACTGTTTTGGGAAACTTACACGAACCTACTGATCACTACATGTGCAGAAGTGCAATGAAGGAAAAGGGAACAGAATAAGGATTAGGAGCTGATACACAGTACAATGCTTGTTATTTTAATACTACGTAAGTTTCCTCCCTTATTACTGGCTAACTAAAAAAAAAGTTTAGAATTTGAGAGCTGCACTAAGGCAAACTCAATAAACCTATAAATTATGGTCCTCAAAGGGAGATTTAGGAAGTTTGTGAAAACTTCTAGGTAGTCTATGGCACGGCGTCGTAAAATATAGTAACATATATACCTTTATATCTACATTAATACTTATGATAGTCTTCTCTGATATATTTAAGTTAGCACTTGGGAGAAAAACCAAGGACATTTTAATCCAGTGATTTCTTTTTCCCTTATAGTAAATAACAATGGCTGGTAGAGCCATCCACAGAAATTTCTGACTCCCTGACATAAATAAGCCGGTATGTTTAGAGTAACTTTCAAATATAGCAGATTATTCTAGTTTTAGGAATTAAGATAAACTTACTTGTTTTCCCGATTAACTGCTGGAGTAAGTGCTGGCTTCCTCTTCTCTTCCTCTTGTATGGCCTGGGTTATATCTGGGGAGGAGTAGGAGCGTTTCAGTTTGGACGGTTCCCTGTCCCGCTCAGCAGGAATCTGTGGCTTGGCTTTGTGAGTTGGAGGGGTGGAAGGAGGTGCAGGTGACGGAGCCATTTCCGGTGGATACATATGAACAGTGTTGGAGGGTGAATGATAGTAACGAAAAGTTCCAGTGATCGGGTCAAGAAACTTGGTTGGAAAAACAAAAAACAAAAACAGGTGAAAAAAAAACAATGACCATTACATGAACAAAAA